AACAACTGTGAAATCGGATTTTCTCTTTTTGAGTAAGAATTCTTGATACAGTTAAGCACTTACTGCAAACAAGAAGCTTTAGCTGCTTTTTCTGAGATGGACAAATGTGTTTAATTACATGTCTAAGCCTAGTGTATGGACTTTCAAAGTACACAGTTCATATATGATGCACTAAAACCCTTCCAGTGAAGATTTCAGCAGATAAAGCATAGAGGATGAAGATTATATGTTAAAAATTGTATTCTATAGGGTTCTGACAGACAGAAATCTAAGCTCTTTGTAACTGGGTTAGATTTTACCAGGAGAGAACTTTGATGCCATTCCACATCAGCTGCTGAGGAAGTACATTGGATATGCTCGGCAGTACGTTCACCCAAATTTATCTTCAGAAGCTGCTCAGGTCCTCCAGGAATTCTACCTTGAGCTCCGGAAACAGAACCAAGGAGCAGACAGCACCCCAATCACCACAAGGCAGCTAGAGTCACTGATACGACTTACTGAGGTAAATGCAAGTTGTAATACCGAATGGATTGAAAGCAAACAAATTATTCCTAAACTGCTACTGGTACCCTACAGTTTTTGACAGCTTATTCACTGCTGTGCTTTTTTGTTGTTAACAAAACTGTAAGAATGCAAGAGACCTGCAAATCCTTAAGAGCTGCTGTTGCTTAAAGCCTCTTATAAAGTAAAACACCCTTGATGGGGTAAAAATTCTTCACTATGAGGTTGGTGAGGCTCTGGCACCGGTTGCCCAGAGAGGCTGTTGCTGCCCCATCCCTGGCAGTGTTCAAAGCCAGGCTGGACGGGGCTTGGAGCGACCTGCTCTAGTGGAAGGTGTCCCTGCCCCTGTGGCAGGGGGGTTGGAACTGGATGGCCTTTAAAGGTCCCTTCCAACCCAAAGTGTTCTGTGGTTCTATGAAAGAGAATCTATCACATTCTCCTAAAAGGAAAAAAAGTAGGTGCAGGCAGGAATAAGCTGAAACTGCTGCAAGTAAACTCCACACTACAGCCTGATAATGTGAATGTGCAGGAGATGACATGGAAGCGCTGTTGAAAAAATACAGAAATCTTCCTCTAAATCCTGTAGGCTTAGGTTCCATCTCTGCTCCTGAACTTTGTGCTTGTTATGGAGTAACTGTAGCCTTTTTTCACATCTGCTATAATATATCTTAAATATACTTTTGTGGATTTTGTTTGTTTTGTTTTTAAGGCACGATCAAGACTGGAATTAAGAGAGAAATCTACCAAGGAAGATGCTGAGGATGTAATAGAAATAATGAAATATAGGTAATACACACTGCTTTAAAAATAAACAGAGAATCACAGTGCTATTCATTCAAACCTTTTATTTTCTGATACACAAACACAGTGATTACTTTATCAAATTTAGGCCCATAATGCCAATATTCAGATTTGTTAGCTCTTTAAAAACCCTAAGTTGGCTATGATTGCTTAGGCCTTTGAGTTGTATCATTGTAGTGGTTATGTAGATCTGTGCACAGTAAATTAGACATGAGGCACTGCCAAAGGGTTTTTTTTCTCTTGTGTAATTACTCTGTTGTTGCAGTTGAACAATTTAACTTTAAAAGTGATTTGGACAGACATTTAGTCTAAGTTCCCTAGATAGTGACTTTCTTACCAGGGGATGGTTTCCTGTGTGGCTTCTGAAAGCTTCCTCAAGTGGTTATGCCTCAGGAAGCAAACTGATGCACTTTTGCTTTTCCCTTCTGTTGCTCTTGTCTTAAATGTATTTTTAGCATGCTGGGAACCTACTCTGATGAGTTTGGAAAACTGGACTTCGAGCGTTCACAGCATGGGTCTGGGATGAGCAATCGGTCACAAGCAAAAAGATTTGTTTCTGCCCTTAACAGTATTGCAGAGAGAACTTACAACAACCTCTTTGACTTGCAACAGCTTCGGCAGATTGCAAAGGAGCTGCAGATACGGGTAAGTTAGGAAATTGAGCATTTCTCCCGCAATAAACTGTGAGATCAGTCAAAATGATTTATTGCAAAATAGAAAGCAGAAAAGGCACATCTGTTGTGCCTCTGCAAGGAACAGAAATAAGCAGTGTTTTCTGCTTGTTAGGCTCAACAATTTTCCTGAATTGCCTTTTGTTTGTTTGTTAGCTTTACTAATGTCACTAGCTGACAGTAATGGCTCCTTGCACTAGTAAGGGCTGGTTCTCCTTCTGGTCCTTAACAAGATTCTGCTTTGTTTATGAAAGGCAATTTTGGTTTCTACTTCCTCTGGCTTCCCAGGGGACACACCTATTTTTGTTCCCAAATTTAGACTCTTGTGGTTTCAGCAGTGCAGTGATGTTTCTGCTTGACCTTCTCTGGCCCAAATACACCTTTGGGGTTCTCATTCCTGCTTCAGGCATCCTATACTGTAACTTGATAGAACATCATGTAGGACAGATGGCCACAAATATGTTTTATTTTGCAATTGATTTGCATTCTGTACATGCGTGGGGACTTCAGCCAAACAAAAATATTGATAGCTCATTCTACTGAAAGAAAGGAGATTTAGATGAGATAATAGGAAGAAATTCTCTACTATGAGAGTGGTGAGGCCCTGGCAAAGGTTGCCCAGAGAAGCTGTGGCTGCCCCATCCCTAGCAGGGTTCAAGGCCAGGTTGTACAGGGCTTGGAGCAACCTGGTGTCATGGAAGGTGTCCCTACCCATGGCAGAAGGTTGGAACTGGATGAGCTTTAAGGTCCCTTCCTACCCAAACCATTCTGTGATCCTATGAAAAAGCTTCAAATATCAATTTAAAACTTAAAACTGGATTTCTGGTGTAATGAGTAAATATAGTGATAATTAATTTCTCTTTATGGAACTTATTACGGGCAATAGCATTATTCTTTCTGTTCCCTGGTTAGCCTACTTTGGCCTGCTGCAGCAAGATTGCTTCAATTTCCAAACTTTTTCAGATGTTGGCTGTACATAAGACTGGATTTGGTGTGAATCCTGTCTGACAGAACATATTATTGCCAGATCTCTTCTCACAGGATTATTCATTCCAGTCTTCCCTTCATATGTAGAATATCTGTTTTCCCCATTCAAAGCCCTACACCTGTAACAAATAGTTGGGAATCAGTGAGCGATGTAGAAATTAGACTTCTTTGACAGATACTTGGTTTTCAGAACTTAGATTTAGACATATGTAACTGCATACTTTCTCTATCTCATTAAGTAGGGAACACTTGTTCTATGTAACACATTAAAAACAGCCTGTAAATAGAGTGCAAAAGGGTGCAACCTCCTAGCAGGTCAGCAGTTTGCTAAGGAAACTAACCTATTCTTAGGTGAGTTTCAAATTACTTTACTCAGTTCTTTTAAACTTTGATGTTTTACATCAGATAAAATGTCATTCTTTCAGTCTGAAATATGTTTTTGTCTTTCTTTTCCCAGGTATCTGATTTTGAAAGCTTTATTGGATCCCTAAATGATCAGGGTTATCTTTTGAAAAAAGGCTCAAGAATTTATCAGCTTCAGACTATGTGAAAACAGCCACAGTACAAAACTTTGAGAGACCTGATCATTGCACCTGGAATGGACTTGATGGCCCTGCAGCAATAAAGTACACTGAGCTGCAGCCTAGCTCAGCAGTCAAGGCACTGCTGGCACTGTTGCTTACTGAGGTGTGAGATCACCTTTCAGAAACAAAGGGTGCCCACAGGGTGCTGTAGTACAGACACCTGGTGTTGCTGCTTGACACATATTAGGTCTGCTTGAGGATGTGAGACTGGGTGAGACCAGCATGTGCTTCATCATCCCTAAGGAGCGGGGAGTGTGTTTTGTATTGACATGATTTCAGTACTGTAGCAGATTTTACTTCTACAACAAACATTTGACCCACAACATTCTCTTTCATGAGAACACGAGAGTTATATTTTTAGCGCTGTAGTTCATTCGAAGAATTTTCAATATGGAAATATTGTCCAAAAGTTGGGAATCTTCATGTTGAGACAACAGTTTTGTTGCTTTTAAGAAGTGCTGTCTTACTGAAACTGACCTGATTTTCTGTTTGGCACCTCTGTATTTGTTGCTCTTTGTAGATGGTATTTTCATTTGAAATGTAAGTCTGATATAAGAAAATATCTTTATTACCCTATTTAATTTGTAAAATGGCATTTGGTTTTTATTTATGTCTTTCATTAAACTTTATGTATGAGAAATCTGTGTTTTGTTTAAGTGTTACCCAGTGACCGTGAATGCTGGTGTAGGTGTAAATGGCATGCAATTTATGTTTCTGTGTCATGGAAATATAAGTAACATTTATTATTATTTATGCCCTACCCCTGGCTGTGTTCAAGGCCAGGCTGGATGGGGCCTTGAGCAACCTGGTATAGCAGAAGGTTTAAGGTCCCTTCCAACCCAAACCATTCTGTGATTTTTATGATATCTATATAACATAAATAATGTCTGTTCCACAAGAGTAAAGTGCTGAACATTTCCTGACTCCTATTAAATCAGAATCATGGTCTAGTGCAATAAAATGGCAGCTGAGAAACTTTCAGTATAAGAATTCTCTCAGATGGCAGCATAATGCTCAGCCACTCTCCTGCTTCTCTTCATCAGCAAACTTGCTGATGGTGCACCCCTTCCCGGTGCCCAGGTCATGTTCAAATCCTGCCTTCACCCTCCAAAAGTCTAAAAAGGAGAAAAATAAATACATGTACCTGATGTGGCAGAAGGGTTAATAAATTAACAAAGTCACATGCATTTTAGCTGCTTTTTCTAGATTGAGGCAGCTGTGGAAGAGGTAAATAACCTACATGCCACTGGTTTTTAAGAGCCTCCATTTGTTTTACTGATTCCTGCATGTAACTAATGCTGATTAAACAGCTGGGGCTCAAACGCTACCTGGGTGATAAACTGATGCCAGAACTATGAACACCACCGCTGACTCCTACCAGCAGGGAGGGCAAGCAGGCGCAGGCCTCAGAAGCAAATCAACGGCTCCACTTGCAAAAGTAAACTCTTGTTCCTCCTTGAGTTAAAGTAAACGTGGGTGAGGGAGGGCGAAAAGTGAGCACAAGAAACCACTCGGTTCCTCTGAGAAGTCTCTTACGATAACGTAAACCTTCCCCTTCATCCCCTTATAGAACAGCTAAAGCGCATCGCCGCCCGCCGTGGGGAGGAGCGGGGTGACCCCGGGCAACAGCCCGCCATGCCGCCATGGACTCCGCCGCCCGCTGCCGGGGGCCCCCGGGGGACAGCTACAACCAGGGGGTAGGTCCTTAAGCGGCGAAATCCCCGTTTTCTCCTCATTTCTCCCCGTTTTCTCCTCATTTCTCCCCGTTTCTCCTCACAGCTGCGATCTACCACCTCACCCGCTGCGCCCCCCTCCAGAGGCAGCCTGCCGCAAAGTGCACGGTGCAGCGGCGACGGCACTGCCGTAAAGGGCAGGGGGTTCTGGGGGCTCCTCCGCGGCGCGGGGCGGAGGCGGCCGGGCGGCGGCGGAAGGCCTCTGGTGAGCCGGCTCGGGGCAGCAGCGACGGAGGGGCGCGGCGGCTGCCGCCATGGCAACAGCGGAGTGTTCTGCTGGGCGGGCGGCCGGGCTCCGGCGGGGTGGTGGCGGCAGCCCCAGCGCCTGCTGCGGGAGCCCGCCGCCGCCTGGCGTCTCCTCAGCGGCGGCGCCGCCCCATCGGAGCCCCCCCAGGAGCGGCGTGTGGCGGGGCGCTATGCCGAGCTGGTACGTGACGCGGCGGGGAGCGCCCGTAACCCCGTACGGGTGGGAACGGGTGGGTTTGCCCAGAGTTGGAGCCCCGGGAGGGCTCTGGGGGTCTCTGTCGGTGGTGCCTTGTCGCTCTGGAGGCTGAGTTAATGTTTAGTAGCTCGCGGACGTGTCCGTGTGTCTTGCGCAAGCAGCACACAAAGGTTGGTTTAACGTAAAGTGTGTGTTTGCCTTGATTTTTACTTGCCAAATCGGGGTTTGCCTTCCTGACCTGAAGTTTTTGCTTGCTTGTTTTACAGTATGAAAACCCCTGGACCATCCCAAACATACTGTCAATGGCAAGAATGGGTTTGGCGCCAGTTTTGGGCTATTTGATCGTTGAAGAAAACTTCAATGTGGCACTGGGTGTCTTTGTTTTGGCTGGCGTTACGGATTTGGTATGTGTGCGTCGGCTTGGGAATACTGTGGGGATAGTGGTGGGTTATGGTGATCCAATTGGCATGCACTGAAATTCATATTCTAATACACATTTGGTTTTATGCTATGTATGTCCTTGGCAACACTGTGAAAGGAGCTGGGAGGTGCCCGAAGGGGACCTAGTGCTGTTGGAGCACGGGGAATGAGTATGAGAGTTCCCTGACCCAGCCGCAAGTGGACTTTCTCCAGTCAGTGCTTACGCATCAGTGGTCTGTAACTGTGTGCAGGTGTCCCAGGTCCACCCATCATAACAATAATTGTGTGAATTTTAAGAGCATCGGTCACTCTTTTTTCCTTTTTCTCCCTTTTTTTTTTAAATATTATTTAATAATCAGAATTGGATATGTTCAGAGGCTTCCAAAATCTGGAATGCAATATGAAAAAAAGCATAAAATATCAGCTAAAGGGTATCGTATTTCATCTTAAGCTGGCTGCATTATGTGAAGTCATTCATGAAATACCTCTGTATACAGCCTATATAAGCTATTTTTATTCTTAGTTTTCTAACAAAAACATTGACCTTTGTTTTTCCCAGTTGGATGGATTTATTGCACGGAACTGGGCTAATCAGAAATCAGCTTTGGGAAGTGCTCTTGATCCTCTGGCTGATAAAATTCTCATCAGTGTGCTCTACGTAAGCCTGACCTGTACAAATCTTATCCCAGGTGAGAAAACATCAATTGCATGTACTATATAAGGTAAAGAAGCTGATTTTATGTGTAATAATATTTCTTGTGTTTCTGGTAGGAAAACTATGGCTTGGAACTCTTGCTTTGTCAGTTGCACTTGGTTATTTGCTCTGTTCAAATACTTAACACACATCACAGAAAGCACGTGCTGCCATATCCAGAACTAGCTAGTATACACTGCCGTTTTCAAGTGTATTTCTTTAAAGCAATAATAGTGAGTAGCTATATCAGAAATTTTCTCATGGACTGGATTTTTTTAAGACTTCAGATTAAACTCTTTCAGAAATCATGGTAAAAATCTTCAGTCATGCATAAAACTTGTTCAGAAGCATTTGAGAGTGGTTATCCTCTTGCTTCATATTTTGTGTGCTTTTTGGTTTGGTTTTAATCATGAACATGATCTTTCACTAGATCCTATTGGCTTGGTTTTTCAGTTCCCCTTACTTCCATGATTATTCTGAGGGATGTAGCGCTCATTGCTGCTGTTTTTTATGTGCGATACAAAACTCTTTCTCCACCGGTAAGTGTATAGCTTTAAACAAAATGGTAGGAACATGTAGTCATTGTATTTTGATTAAACCTTCTGTAATGGGTTTAAACTAAAACAGGGGAAGTTCAGGTTGAATATAAAGAAGTTCTTTACTGTGAGAGTGGTGAGGCACTGAAGCAAGTTGCCCAAAGAAGTGGTAAATGCTCCATCCCTGGCAGTGTTCAAAGGCCAGGTTGGACAGAGCCTTGGGCAATGTGGCCTCATGTGAGGCATCCACTGCCCAAGGCAGGGGGTTGGAACTAGATGACCTTAAGGTCCTTTCCAACCCAAACCATTCTACAATTCAGTGATTTTTACAAGTATAAAAATATGAATAAGCCTTCAACAATGTTGTAAACAATAAAGATTTTAATTTTGAGACTTGATGATGACTTAAAACTTGAGTGGTTAACCTAAGATGTGGTGTTGTGCTTGTTCTTTCACCAGATAGATTTGTAAGCAGAGCAGTATTTCATAAAATAGGTTTCATCAAGATGAGTCAGAGCTGCTGTTATTTTTCCTGTGTATGATGTGTAATAAATCATATAAAATTTATTTTTACGTTTTTCCTATCTATGCTATGTAGTAAATCATATAAGAGCAATATCAGTATAAGCTTTAGTGCTACAGTTGTCTTTTCTGTGTTGTGTGAAGAGGACTATCGAACGTACTAAACTGACTTTTTTTCCCTCTTTTTCTCACCCAACAGAGAACACTCAGTAGGTATTTTAACCCCTGTTATGCTACTGCCCAATTAAAACCAACATTCATTAGTAAGGTAAGAGTAGTAACTAACACCCCAGTACTTGGAGTGGTGTGCAGTTTGGAGGGAGGGGGCTGATTCCTACTACCCCTGCGTGCAGTTTCAAAATAGTGCCAACCAGTTTGAAGGCAGTTTACATCCTGAAAGATTTTCAGCTATGCTCTGTCAGAGTACGTGTTAATTTTGAGTATGTATAGTGTATAGTTCAGTTGAGTATATAACTCATTAAAAGAGGTTCCTAAATAAATTTTCTGTATGTAGACTAGTACTTAAACCAGTAATAAAAGTGTCTATATTCTTTACATAGTACATGTCTTCATTTTGGTCACATTTCGTATTTTGCTTTTATCAGATGAACACAATGGTTCAGCTAATTTTGGTGGCAGCTTCTTTAGCAGCTCCTGTTTTCAATTACGTGGACAGCATATATCTACAGACATTATGGTAATTTATCTCTTCATTTGTTTCTGGTTTTGTTTTTTTTTCTGATAATTTAATGTACTCTTAAAGAAACTGGTAATTGAGATTAATCTAATTGTGTGGCACAAAAAAACCCTGCAGGGATGATGTAATAGACCCATATGCCTGAATTTTTTAAGCATTTATTCTTAAAAGCACAGGAGCTAGATATTTGTTGGTATTTAATTTACTGTACAAGCAAAAAGTAGTCAAATGATAATACTAGTTAAGATCCAGGAATAAGAGCTGAGAAACAAGTCTTCAGAATAGGCAGAATTCAGAGTAATAGAAAAGAAGGGAGTGGGAAGAAAGGCTGTATGGATTCTTTATTTATTCATGCCATAGGTGTCCTTGAAGAAATAACTTTGATGTCAGTAAAAATAGATGGGAAATATTTTCTTGGTTTTGCTTTATGTTATACCTGCTACCTTGAAATCTAGGTTTCTGAAGCCTATCTGAAAAGCATCTGATGAAATCTGTGATTCCTGCTAGACTCTAGGAAGGAAGGGGAAGGATGGAATGAAAACAGGCAAACAGGAGCATAACTCCTTAAATAGTGGCTGTTCCTTTCACTGCTGTCATTGGAGGTGTGAGCTGTACCTGAAGCTTAACTGTACCTGAGAGCAGGTGTTACACGTGCAGTTATTTCTCCTGAGCAGTTGGGTAAGAGATCAGGACAAAGAGGCTGAACAGCAGAATTACTAAATAACTTAGTTTCAAGTAGTAGAAAACCCAGTGTTACTTGTATCCTTCTTGGGGGGAGGGAGAGAGACATTCAAAAAAACCCACAAAACCCCACAAAACCAAAACAAACCCAAAAGCTTTTAAGGAACTAGGGACCTTGATCTTGACAGTCAGTGTAGTTTTTCATCCTTTTGAAAGCCAAAACTAGAATCTCATCTGTGAAAGATGCTTACTTTGCTGCTTGTCTGGGACTCTGAGTGAGTTACATCTTCGGTTTGTTCATTTCTGACTTTGCTTTTATTGATGAATACAGAGGTTCAGCTAATTTTGGTGGCAGCTTCTTTAGCATCCCCTGGTTTTGGCAAGCTGTGGCCACCCCATCCCTGGCAGTGTTCAAGGCCAGGTTGGACGGGGCTTTGAGCCAACTAGTAGAAGGCGTCCTGCCAATGGCAAGGGGTTTTAAACCAGATGATCCCTAAGGTGCCTTCCAACCCAAACCATTGTACGATTCTGTTGTGTGAGTAATGAAGAAATGCTGGGTGTAACTCACCAGGGTCTTCTGTAAACACACTCTCAAAAATTACCTGGACGAGTGAGCCAAGGGAGAGCAGTGGTAATGGAGGGGTAGGACTGTAGTGGTGGCTCTCACCTGAATGGTGTCAGCCTTTAACACAGAGGAGCACTGCTAATTTAGAAATATGGGTAGTTATTACCCAGCATCTGAGAAGGGAACAAAAGAGGCTGAAGCCAAAACTTGTGCTTTAGCTTTGCAACTTGGTAAAATGAGACATTCCAGTCTTGCGTGGTTTGAATGTTCCCCTTTTATACTACCAATGTATAATATCTCCCATCGGACAGTTCTCAAGCTGGTAAAAATTAATGTAGGCTACAAGTACTGAATCTTTTGTCTTCCCTTCTCTAAGACAAGTGCTAATATGGTAAAATTTTGCCTCCTATGCAATTACACTGAAACATTCTACTTTGCACTACACGGCCGTTCCTTTGTTTATCTAATCCACTTAAAACTGAATTTCAGCATATTATCTGTAAAACCTATTTCTGTCAGACATAGCCCTTGAACTTGTAGTGAAAAATAATGATGAGCTTAAAAATGATCCTTTATTATTGTACTTGGACTCAAACGACTTACAGGAACTATTTTCCCCAAAGGTGCATCACGGCTTTCACGACGGTAACATCTGCATACAGTTATTACCACTATGGCCGAAAAACGGTTCAGGTGATAAATAACAAATGAAGTTCTCCTGAAAGGACAGGCTCTTGGCACCACTGGGTGCTGTACTGCCAAAGGGGGTTATATTGCTACTGAATTTTGGATCAAGAACTCTTTTTTTTCTGCTTAAAACCATGGCATCACAATGGAGTGAAGATTTAACATGTACTGTATATATATAGATAGACTTTTCAATGTGTTTTTTATTTGTTTAAAAATAGGGTTGTTTACAAAACAAATAAATAATATCCTTAAAGACACAGGTTGCTGATCGATGCCACGTGCATTCTGAATAATTTTATATTCTTTTTGAAGTCAAAATATGCACCTTTCACCAGCTTTCTTGCCATCTTCACACAAGACACTGAGTAGGCCGAGATCTGAGAAGAAAAAGCAATTAAAAGAACAGATTTGTCTTTGTACCTCAGCCTAAGTCACTAAACCAGCATTGCTCATTATGATGTCCATCAGCCTGAAGCAGAGGAAGGTGTCTCATCGGGAACAGTATCTTCAGAGATCTAAACCAGAAGGATAGAAATCTTTTCCTTCGTGTTCCGTGGTGATATGGATAAGCCATGAAGAGTTACTACCCTGCCCCCTTTTTCAGTACGTGCAACCGTGAACTGTATTCACCAGAGAAGAGCATTGCCCCCAGAAAGGTTGGCTGTGCAGTGAGTACTCTGTACCCAAATGGAGTTAGTTTCTCATGTTATGTATTAATTTCTAGCGATTGAAAGGAACTCCTGTATCTCCATATTCTTTAAAGCTTTTAACTATGCTATTTAGTCTAAATACTGCTGTAGGAAAGAGACATTTTAAGTGTTGTCCAAATTAACGGAGAGAGTGGAGAATGGAGAAACTGTTAGCTGCACATACTGTTACATCTTTAATTTTCCTGTTCCTCTAGCTTCAAGATTCCCTCAGGCCAGGGGACAGCTTGCACGTGTACTTTGCCTATTCTCTACTTACAAAAAGATACAGAATAAAGAACTAGGCAGAACAGATCATGTTGATCATAAACCTATGTTTTATATTTTTGAGCAATGTGATATTTCTTGTATGTCAAAAAAGTGTAACTATGAAGGGCTTAAATAACTGAAATCAGGTGGTGATACCACTGATAAATCATACTAGAAGACAATTTGCTGTAGACTTGAAAGCACACAGTCTCTTTTGTGACTGCACATGCTTGTATATACAAAGCATTTTAATATTTTTTATATTTAAACTTGTATAGAATGGTGCACAGAGAAAACACTTGATATTTGTTAGTACCTTTTTCTTAACTGTCCCATGTTTTGTGGCCAACCCTGCCTCTTAACAGCAAAAGGATAGAGAGCAAAGCTGATGGAAGCTTCCTTAAACTGAGTGTTCAGTAAAATAGAGTACTTGAAGAATCAGCATAGAAAAAAATGCATTCTACCCAGTCATGTCATTCCTGTTTGGTTCTGGTTAATGGGATTGGGGTTTAATTGGGGTTTTTGTTGTGTTGAGGTATTTTTTTCCTGTTTTAATCACAGATACCTTTGGAACATTACCTGGCATTGTCAGGGAATGGAATACTGGTCGGTGGAGGCTCTCTGTTGGTGTGTGTTATTACACCTTGTTGAAATAAGTTCCATGTACTCGGTGAGACGTGCCTAAATACTAGTGTTAAATAAAATTAGTCTGGATGGCGGAGCCGCTGCGTTTTCCGTTTGCGTGTTGGGTACTCGGTGCTTACGATTGCCTTGCTAAGGGCACGATCCGCCTCACCCCGAGAAGAAGACTCGGTAGGGCGGCGGGGATTGTCCCTGCGCGGCCGCCGTACTGGCGGGCGGTGCCTCCGCCCTCCTCACGATGGCGGCGCCGGAGCCGCCTCAGCCGCCGCCCGAGGGCTCGAAGCCGCTGAGCGCGCTCCTCAGCGGCATCGCCCAGGCCGCCTACTGCGGCAACGCGGACATCACGGAGGATCTGCTGCGCGGGCAGCTCTACCCCGAGGCGCCGCCGGAGGAGTTCCGCGCCCTGCACGCCAAGATGGGCGGCCTCCTCCAGGTACCGGGTGCGGGCGGCGCGGCTCTGAAGGGAGGGAACCCCGGTCCGGGGGGGCCTCTCCGCACAGCGACCAGCATCCTTCCCCGCTGTGCGGCTCTGGCTGCAGCCGGGGCCGGGGGTGCTGCCGCGGCGTGAAGCCGGTCGCCCTCAGTAGCAGGTGAAGCTTTTGGCTCCGTCCCTTCCCTTGCATGCCGTGGTGAGCTCCCGGTGTCGTGGAGGCGTCTCCTCAGAAGCAGGAGCCCACCAGCCCAGCGCTCTGTTGAGGTAAAGGAGGCTCTTGGGTTTATGCTTATGGAAGTAGCGGTACTTGAGAACTTCCTGCGAAGAGCTGCTGTTCAGGTATTTCTTACAAGGAAACTGCGTTTTAGGAGAAGCATCACCAATTGCGAAGCAAGCTGCTTTAAACAGCAAACAGATTTGGCTTTGTGTAGAGAGAAAGGGATTTTCCCTTGGAATGGATGTTTTTGCTCTCTGTTCTAGAGAACAGCGCGGTATAGTTCTCACAGCTCAGTGTGGCACAGGGAGCCTCCAGCTAACAAATACCTGAATGGCCGCTGCCACCTGGTGGTTAAATCCGCGGATGTTCGCAGGTTGTATCAGCCTGGCAGGTTTTTGGGGAGGAAAAAGTGTATCTAAACGTTGTAACATAGTTCTGGCTGGGTAATTTTTTACGCCCAAGCCAGCAGCGAGCTTTATCCCTTTTTAAAGTGTCGTATTTTGCTTACAAGTAAAGCAACATGCTTGCCTGCTTTGCTTTCTCGGTCACTGCACGTTATTTTTACTGCATGCTATTTATGTTGCTGAAGGTCATCTTTTAAATTACTGGAAAGAATCCTCAGGATTACCTTGCGTTAGTCTATATGATGGAAAAAAATGCTGGAAATTTTAAAAGGAATTGAATTTTCTTGCTTTTATCTGTGTTCTTATTTGTTACAAGGTCAAAAGTAAGTAAGTAAGTATGTGTCGTTTAAAAGAAAAATCACTATAAAGTGTCTTCAACCCCCAACCCCCTTTTATTGCTGTCTTGTTCTCAGGAATCAGTGTGTTAGTGTAGACTTGCAGGTTAGCCCAGCAGATGATATTAACTGCTGCTTTAAATGACCAGTGTCACAAGATTCAGCAGAGAATGCAGCTCAGTCTCTCATCATTAGGTTGTGCCCACAGCGCTGTTAGCAGCAGTCTCCCTCTTCGTGGCAGGTAAGAAACTGCATATGTGAAATGTGCCACTTCAATCTGATATTTGGTTACTGTCACACATGCCTGCAGACAGCCGCTGTGGTGAGCAGAGCAGTCAGATCTGGTGTGTGTTCTGCAAGATGTAGTATGCCAGTGGGGAAGTATGTTATGGCCAAAATGAGGGGGTTTGACTGTTTGGAATGGCTTCCCTAGGGAAGTGGTGACTTCCCTAGTACTGGATGCTTTTAAGATGCAGCTGGACAGGGTGCTCTGCGCAGCAGTCTAGATCATGCTTTGCCAGGAAATGTTGGACTGGATGGTCCTTGATGTCTCTTCCAACCTGGGATTCTAGGATTCTCCCCATGTATTCTATCTGATACGTCAGTGCTTTGTTGTAGATTCCTAATCAATTCTGTATTCATTTTTTGTGTTAATTTAAAAATCAGTTTCTTTGCTAAATCTCCCCAAGCCAAATTTTACTTTGTCATCCATTCTCCCATTTTGGTAGTAATTTTTTAGACCTGATAGGTATACCTTTTTCCTCACCTGGCCTTCTTGGTGCTTTTTTTGAGGTGCCTTTGACTTACCTGTGGGAGATGGGGCAGATAAGAAACACAATTAGTATTTTTCTAGTTATTTCAGTGCATTACTGCCGTATAGTAACTTTAGATGAATATTGACTTCATGTGAATGATCTCCAAACTATATAGGTTTGTTTTTCTGCTTGCAGAAGTGGGTGGCTCTTTAGCCATCGCTGAAATGTCATAGCTGCTCGGCCAATGCGGTGTGTTTGAGGCCAGAAGAAAAGAGAGTACCACATTTACAGGAAATAGCTAGAGAAATTTAGGTTTCAAATACAACTCTTATTCAAGCACTGTTGAGCTGTCATATTCTGGAGATAACATAAATTCAGGCCCCAGAAAGCACAGATGATTCAAAGTATTCAATATTTACCCATTTCTGTAACATAGACATATAGCTTAGGAGGATGGCAATGTGTTGGGGAGAGGATATCACATTCCCTGTGTGCTGCTTTAAGAACCAAAACTGGTAACAGTTGTGGTCTTCAGGGTCATGCCTTCCAACATAAATTCGTATTCATAAATAACAAAGCATCATCTCACTATTGTCAGGTTCATCTCATGGTCTTTATTGCCACCACTCTTCTCATCTTATGAATGAAATTCCTGGGATATAACCAAAGTTTATGTTCAACGCACTTTAAAGCTGAAGTTCCGAGCTAAGCAATACACCAACTACATTTACAGACACAGCTTCAAGTCAAATATTGTGGATTGGGTGACTTAAAGGATGTAACACTTTAATTCCTGTGGGTATTTTCAGGACCTCTGTTCTAGAGCATTCTAAAAAAATCTCTTGGCTTTCTGGTCAGTTTGAGGGCCCTTCCTCTTTCACAGCTCTTAGTTTGTGAGGGAAAGGTTGATATTAGTGTTGTACTTTGAAAGTAGGAAGGCTTAAACATGTTTTCCTCTTCCTCCATCTACCTAGTAGGAAAAACCGTTGCCTTGGCTAGTATTTTTGATACCCTCTTTTTAGTTCTTACAGCTAGCCTACAAATCTCTGCCTCTTGCATAAACTGGCTCTTCTGAAGCTATGACATAGAGGTCACACAGATACAGTGCGAGCTGTTCTCTTTTGTTTGAAGGATGTGCAGGGGAAGTGCCATCTTGGCCCTACCAGTTGCTTAACCAAATCTTCAAGTAACTGAGAACTACCACACACATACTTGCATGCTTTAGGGAGTTGCCTGGAACACTTCTAGTATCTCTCTGAATTTAACTATGTGGGAGGTGGCGTTATATTGTATTTGTTGACAACAGCAAACTTCAAAAGTGTTCCTCTGTGTTTATAACATCTCAGTATTTGGACACACATCTTGGATGCTGGAGGAGCAAGCTCCACTCAGAGATTTGTTTTGTCCCTTCCTTGTCAATTGTCACATGAGTTTTGGAGCAAATTTATTCCAAGTCTTGATATTTCATTGTGAAAAATCTGCATGATTAAAATGTTATCTTTATGTGGTTTTATTTTTCTGTTCCTCCTCTGGATAGTGGAGAAAAGGGAGCAAATAGCAGAAATAGACAATAGAAAGTCAGAGTACTTGTTTATGCAGCCATTTTCCTTGTGTGCAGTGATCTTATCTGAACTTCAGAAGGCAACAGGTAGCTTTTCTGTCTCCATTGATGATAATACCTGGTTGCGTCAAATACATTCTTTCAGGAGGTAGCCATGCTGTTTGGCTTCAAACACCTCCTTTAGAAGCCCAGGTCCTTTGTATGGCCAATCTGGAAAGAATTTGATGTCTTGTACTGTGTTCTGTTGATTTCCAAGGGAATGTAAGCACCTAAATTGAATGAGATGAATAATGCCTTCTGCCTGTCTCTTGAGGATTTTTTTCTCTGATACCCATCTTCTTGATAGTTAGAAGCAGAGGCATTCATTACCCTTGTGAATTAATTGCTGTAGTACTTCATATCTTCTAAGTAGTAATCATAAATCTGTACTATAAATCAACCACTTGGTTGTATTAGATCTGAGTATAAACAAGGTGAAGGACTTTTCCTGTACCCTCCTGTGTTCCACCTGTGCAAAGCATGGCACCTGGGAGAAGTATTGAGATGAAGAAGAGCCACAAAAGCATATCATATTTATTGCAGCAATAACCATTTAAATGTTTCTTTCCCCCTTGTTTGTGTATTGACTAGTCCTGGGTTTGTATTTATAAACGATGTTATGATCTGCTTCTTACAGCCTGCCCATAGATCTGCTGAATTTACATGAATCATTTGACCTCTAAAATGCTGAATTTATTTTGGAGAGAAGTCATGTTACCTTATTAAATTTACTTCTCACTATTAAATCTCACTTCTGGTGTGGCATATCGTGGAAGGTAGATCAGAGCCCTAGGAAGGCTGGCCCTGGAGAACTGTACCAGTTTAATGTTCTGTCAGTTGTTCTTTACCTTCATACCCAGCCTTCTGTCCCATAAGGTGGCAAAATATTGAGAAACTGAAGGAGATTGTAGATCAGCTTTTAGAAATTCTTATCCCCAGCTTTTTTTGTTTTTAAAGACTTCATCATCCTGACTAAAATACTAAATTTGTCTTCTCTTTTCGTATGTTTAGTTAACTGTATTCCACTGGTAATAGTTACTTTACATCTGGAGTAATTCTACTGTTTTCCTTTTGGTGGCAGCAGGCTATTGGATTTACTGAACACGATTCAGTTGCTGCTTTGTTGGAAGTGTCCTGGTTCGCTCTTCTGCCTCAGAACAAACTGTACGTTGGCTAAATGACAATAAAAATTGCAGTGTGAGGAGTCTAAATATTTTATTATATTTGATTTGCACGTGTTTATTTTCAGAAATACTGAGGGTGCCACCATCTGCAATAACAAATACTGGCACTTATTGGTAAAAATATTAATCAGGCTCTATGCGAGTGATATAT